TTTCAATATAAAACTATCCACTTATCAATGCCTGACTTCATTTGGAAAATTTCTTTAACATGTTATAAGTGCATATGGGTGTGTCAAGAATGTCACACGAAGTCTTATTTTTTGAATTCTTATTGATTTTTCAGTTTTAAATGCTTTAAATGAGTTTTCTAAATTTCAGAACTGGATAACTTCCCTGGATTTTTCACCCCTACATTGAGCTCATCTGAACTCAATATTACTTTTTCTTTCTTCTTTTAAACCTTGGGATCGATCAAAATGAGTGGGATAACGACCATATTTTTTAAATATAATCAGACTTTGTTGTTGCAATAAAATACTATCCAATAATAGATGGGGGAAGACTCTTTCTGGATAGTAGCTTAAAAGAGAGTTCTGTCCTTTGTAGAATCACCATATACTTGAGCGAGCCAATTTACGTCCTTTGTCTGTCTTTTTTACTTCATCATTGCCCCAGTAGAATAAGACTATGACCTTTCATTGGTTTTCTATCAAGGTAAGGACATTTAAATTTCCTTTGATATATCATTGTTATTCAGAGTTGTGTGGGAAACAGTTTAAAATGTTATTACTCCGTACATTTTTTGTTTCCTTTCCTCATTATTTTCATTTAATTTTAACAATTTAAATTTATCAAACAGTTTGAAATGTTTAACACGTAACAATTTAACAATCTGCCCTAAGCCCTAAGGTAAATGAAATGGTTTTTCAAGTTTAGAATAATACTATGACCTTTCATTGGTTTTCTGTCAAGGTAAGGACATTTAAATTTCCTTTGATATATCATTGTTGTTCATAGTTGTGTTGGAAACAGTTTGAATTGTTATTACTCCGTACATTTTGGTTTCATTTCCTCTTTCTTTTCTTTTAATTTTAAATTTTTAAATTTATCAAACAGTTTGAAATGTTTAACAAGTAACAATTTAACAATCTTCCCTAAGCCCTAAGCTAAAGCAAATGGTTTTTCAAGTTTAGCTAAAATTACTATTTAGTATAAAAAGTATAAAACTAATGTTTGTCGTGTGGTATATGATAGTTTATTACATTATAGCTATGCATTACTATTTTTAAAAATTTTTCATAACAGTTTATTAAAAATTACTATTAAATTTTTAGACATTAGTATTGACTATCTATTTGTTCTAATTTCTAAAAAATTAAGTGTTGTGCTTTCGAATATTAATTAGATGCCCCTTATGTTTTATTGGTCTACTTTGCATCCCCATTTGTACTTAACCCATTCTTTTCAACAATCCAGTAGGCAAACCATCCATCGGTGATGTAAATGTCGATTGGGGGACATTTACCATGTTTTGTTAAAGGGAAAAGGGTCAGATAAGGCATCGAACTTACATAAAAATCTCAAGGCCTTATACTATAAATCTAAACTGCCACAGTGCCTCCATATCACAACCATAATCCTTTATTCCTGGTTTTAGTGACCCATGGCACTAGGTAGTTTTGCAGGCATTTATTTCATCTAAGAGACTAATACTTGAATATTGATACGCCCAACACTCCCTATAATCACATTAACTCAGGCACATGAATTATAAGTCCACTGCCCTTGGATATATCGCACATCATAGAACTTACAGAGAATACCAAATGTATACTTATATATAAACTTGATAAAATTACAGATTAGATTGTATTTGCACTCATGAATTATAGGAACATGCCATTTTTTTTTTGTTTTTTTGGCTTTAGGCTTAATACATATTTTTTGCATTCTTCGTATGATATAACTGATTGGTTGTACATAAAACCTATCTTCATTTAAAATTGGTTAAATACCCCTATGGATAGAAATGTGTGCAAATTGAAGTAATATTTTGAAAAAAATGATCTCAAACTACAATACCAATATGAAAATTTTACACATACTTTATGCATTTTATTTTACTACACTATTTGTGTGTATGTCAATGGGCATGTCTAAAGCGTGCTTGAAGTCGTAAATATATAGTTTTTTGGTTGTTAATGTATAGCAAACACATCACTGCGCTATAAAGATAGAATTGCCCAACAATGACCCACCTGAATCCAGTGAAGCAGCAAAAAATCGAAAAAGAAGGGAGCGATATGCGTCAAATGAAGAACGACGCGCAGAAATAAACTCACAACGAAGAATTGCCTATGCAACAATGGACCCAGAAAAAAAGCGCAAAATGCTAGACGAAGCTAATAAAAAACGTAGGGCCGCATATCATGCGTCCAAAGCCTTATCCAACCAGTGTCTTCCCATTGGTATGACGTTGAACGTATATTCACTCATAGAACTGTCATATTCCTTCAAAAAACTGATTCGTTTTTCTTTTCCTTTCCTGAAATGTATGTACTAAGATAAACCACAGGTAGCACCTGCGCAAATTTTGTCAACGAACAGCAGGGTGGCGAATCTGCCTGGTGATACAAGTGTCACACAATCCTTGATTCCCACATATAGCATGTCACTTCCCTTAGAACCTTCTCTGCTTAAACAATGTCTACCGTGCCACCACTGTGAGGCCGTGCGCATTCAATATGAACCACCGAGATTTTGTTGCTCAGCTGGTCAAACTGTTTTGGTATCTAACAAGATTCCTCCAATCTTGAAACGATACTTCTATGATAATGATTCCGTTGCTCGCCAATTTAAGGCATGTGTACGCACTTACAACAACACGTTTGCCTTCACATCTCTAGGCGTACACAACTACGACAGAGATTTGGCACGAAGGAATAAGGGCATATACACATTCAAGGTACAGGGTCAAATGTATCACTTCATTAATGATTTGATACCTGACAGCGATCGACCTAAAAACCTGCAACTATATTTCTTTGATACGGATCACGAGGTCCAAAATAGAGTGGAAGGAGCAGAAAGGATGGATAGTAGCATCGTGAGGGACCTTATAACCGTTCTTGACAGCAATCCATATTCACAATTCTTTCAAAGTCTTAAAGATGTATCCAGCTTGGAAGATTGTAACATTATCATTCGATCAAACATAAAGGTGGATCAGCGAGTCTACAACATGCCAAGTGTGTCTCAGGTGGCGGCAATTTGGATTGAGGAATCAGATGCCGGGGGTGAGAGTCAACGAGACATACGTGTGTATGCAAAAAGTGGAAGATCACATTCAGTGCAATACTACTACGGCTGTTATGATCCATTACAGTACCCACTCCTTTTCCCCTATGGCGAGAGCGGTTGGCACGCGGGAATACCAAAACTTCCCAAACATGTCGGCCCACGCACCGAGTCACGGAAACCGACCGTGCAACCGACGAGTGTGAGCTCGATAGACATGTTGTTTCATAGAGAATCTCAAAATAATGTTGCTGCTAACAAAAGGAACAATGTGTCATGTCGAGAGTATTATGCGTACCACTTCCAAGTACGCCACAAAGATGAGTCTATCGTTCTCCACTCCGGTAGACTCTTCCAGCAATTTATTGTAGACATGTAGGCGGAACATTTTTTTTCGATGGCCCGGGGGGCACCGGCAAGACTTTCCTGTATAGGTGTCTTTTAGCAAAGGTTCGGTCGAATCGTGATATTGCCCTTGCCACAGCAACTTCAGGAGTTGCTGCATCTCTATTGCCGGGCGGCCGAACAGCACATTCACGGTTCAAAATCCCAATTAATGTGGAAGACAAATTTGTTTGCAACATAGGAAAGCAAAGCGCAGAAGCATCATTAATACGTGATTGCAAACTAATTTTATGAGATGAGGCTACGATGGCAAATCGGAGAACTGTAGAGAATGTCGAGACGACTTTGCGGGATATCACAAATTGTGAAAAACTCTTTGGGGACAAGGTCGTGGTTTTTGGCGGGGATTTCCGGCAAACATTGCCTGTGATTAGATCCGGCAGAAAGAAAGATTTCATTGAAGCGAGCTTGGTCAATTCTCATGTCATATGGCCCTTCACTGAAAGGTTAGTCTTAACCGAAAACATGAGAGCGATATCTGATCCGGCCTTCAGTGATTACTTAATGAGAGTAGGCAATGGAATTGAAACATATGTTTCTGACTCAACAATTGCTATTCCACATCATTTCCTCATTCCTTACACCGGCGACGACGAGTCCTTGAATGCACTAATACACCATGTGTATCCTGATATGTCAAAGTTTTGTGACGACCCGTATCCACTGATGCGCCGGGGTATCCTTACCCCAAAAAATGAGTATGTCGAGAACTTGAATGGCATATTAATCCATCGATTGCCCGGGGAAGAGCGGTGCTACGTTAGCTACGATGAGTTGCTCGATTCAAACACATACAACGAATACGGTGATTTCCTAAACACCATTTGCCTACCCGGTTTACCCCCCCACAAATTGGTACTGAAGAAAAACTGTCCGGTGATTTTGCTTAGGAATCTAAACCCGGCCGAGGGCCTATGCAACGGCACGCGTTTGATATGCCACGAATTTCATGACCATGTCATTAGTTGTTCCATAGCATCCGGTGAGCATGTGGGAAAACATGTGTTCCTGCCAAAAATACCTCTCCAACCATCAAGCGATGACAACTGCCCCATACCATTTAAGCGTCATCAATTTCCTATCAAACTATGCTTTGCCATGATGATAAATAAGTCTCAAGGACAAACATTTGACTACGTCGGCGTATACCTAAGGGAACCGGTTTTCTCGCACGGGCAACTGTACGTTGCAATGTCAAGAGCGCAACGAGCAGAATGTTAAAAAATACTTATATGCAACAAAGATCGCCCATGTGAACCAAATTGGACACACAATATAGTGTATCAAGAAATATTAAATTGCGCTAGCCACTGTACAGTGAACAAAGGTGAACCATACAAATTACAATCACACTTTCCCCATATTCATTTATATCTACATATATACACACATATCTTTACGTTTAACCAAATACGTATTCTATTTTCAGGACCTGTTCAATGGCAACAATGCACCGATTAGTTGATGTGACGCCTGAAACACCCATGTGGACATGTGAGGTTCGTGTCGCTCATAAGTCTGCACCTAAGCATAACACAACAACTGGGAAGAGACACCTACATATGTTCCTTGAGGATAAGGAAGTAAGTCATATCTTATAAAGTGCTTAATTGCTTATGACTGTAAATATACCAAATGTAATTGCTTCTTCCTCGCTGCACTGCCACGTACTTTACAAAATTTTCATGAAAAATTACTCCGCATTTACTTTTTATGAAATATGATTACTTATTGAGATAGCTACATACATACTTATCAAATTTTATACAGAGTTTTTATTTTTCCAAAAAATAAACAAACACTTAGATTGGAGTTTTATTCTTACACGTTTCTTAAAGAATCCATAAAAAGAGAGAATCACTACATGATTTTAAATATATAATTCGTACATTTCATACTTCATTACACATATGATCAATTTGAACAACAAGCTAGACAAATTTTATATGGGAGTTCAACATAGAGAATTACGAGGTTGTATCTTTGAGTTACTCTATTTGTTGTACCCATTTGGAATCTTGGGTGCTTTCTAACCGAGTTTTGAATCTAATAGCCCATTGTCCAAATTGGGACAAAAAATGCAACTACAAGCCATTAGTCAAATGTGCAGTATTGTGAGGATCCATTCTTTTGCTGATAAAAAGAAGTTTATTTTCCATACTACCTTTCAGCCATCTCATGAATTATTTATATGCCTGTTCTAGCACCAAGTTTTGCTTGAGCTTCTCAAACTGTTATTAGCACCCTAATTAACATGTTTTTCCAAGAATTTCTTGTCCTCCTTATTTAGAGTTGCAATTTCAAAACAAAATGTTAGACTCATTTTTCTCCTAACCGTTTTTCTCCTCATCAATAAAACAAATTAAATATTTACAAAATCAAAACATACTATAAATTGATGACATCCTTGAAATACCTTGTTATACATTTAGTTGACGAAATTCCAAATTTCCAACAAATTAATTTTATAGATATTCTATACTTCTTCCATCCTTATTTAAATCAATACTAATAATAAAAACTTACAAATTAGATGCTACTTTTATGTTCTAAGGAACCGCAAAAAAATTGTATCCGAATATTGTAAAACTTCTGAAATAGATTATACTTCACTATTTTCTTCTCCTAGCTTTCCCAGTTCTAAACAAGCCCTCAAATTCCAGTGAGATAACGGAAAATATATACCTCTAAATGTCCATGGATTTATGGTTGATCACCAAATAATCACTATCATTGTTTCTGCATGTGCTTTTAAAGTATTGTTTTTCATATCAATTGTTAAAAAAAGGCCATTATGAAATGTCCATGTTAAAATATTTCCAGGGCATACACATCTCAGCCATGGTATTTGACCATGACGTAGAGATGTATGATATGACTATGAAGCTCAATTCATCTTATCACATCTCAAACGCTAATGTTCGCGTACCACAGAACTCCTACAAAGTGCCAGATATGAGGTATGGGTTCACATGGGTTCTCAATCGTAGAACAGCTATTCAACCATGTGAAAATGCAAATGAAGCTGAAGATTTTGAGACTAAAAGGGTCTCCAGATTCAGTGACCTATATCAGCACATGAAGACTGGGCGGCACATATGTAAGCAACATTGCCTGTATACACAAATATCACGCACTCACGTTAAACAAGCTGAAATATATATTACAACTTACAAGGTTAAATTTCCTTACTTTACGTATTATTAAAAAATTGTATACTGAAGTCTATTTATATCATTGTTAATATTGTAGCAATGGTTGTTGTAATTGATAAACTTCCAAGAGAAACCCCGTCTACTTCAAATGGTGTCCGGTCTATCAAGGATTTCATTGTGGTTGATGAACTGTAAGTATGACCTATGATTAATCTTATTATATTGTTGAAGTTATTTGCAACATCATGCACTCATAGAAATCCATCACAATTCCAACAGACTGAAACCGGTGCAATTCACACTTTGGGATGAGTTGGCGCTAATTAAGGGAGTTGAAATCTTTGAGGAACTAACTGCAAAAAAGTATCCTATAGTGAGCCTAGAAGACATTAAGGTTACCGACTTCAAAGGTACTATTGTAACCCTATAACGTATATTACATATTCGCACCAAGTACTAATTTTGCTCTTAATACATAGGGATATCTTTAACTTCAATGTCTCAGTCAACAATCACTCTCAATTCCGATTTGCCTCGTGTTGCAGAATTGGAGAAATGGTAATGTCTACCTTCTGTAATTATGTGGTAATCATATAAGGTCCTAAGTGTTCTTTAATTTGGTGCTTTTCATTGGTCATCATTATGGATCTCTTTACGAAAATTGTTCTAGGGATCCTAATCATGTTGAATATACATTAAATACAATATGGATGCTAATTACATAGTTTAATTTGCGGAATCTTCCTCTATTGATTCTTATTACACACATAAGGGCCACTTCCATAGTCTTTTCATTCTACATACTCAAAACCATTCTTGGTTCAATGAGCTGCCGAACTATGATAATTTATTTATTTATGAATTTATATAATATTTTGGAGAAAAAACTAATAAGCTCATAAATTACGACAGTGAATAAGTTATAGTCTCATGATTAGTATTCACTTATACCAAGTTATTTTTCAATACAAAAATAATAATTTCTTTGACTAAATAAGCTAGGTCACACTGTTTTTTATCCAGTTTTGGTTCTTTCACAGATTTTGACAACTTAGAGTCTTTCTATTATCAGACAGCCTCAATGAGATATAAACACATTCTGTCTCACATGCAATGAAAGATAGAGGAATGTTTGTGTTTGATTCTTATTATGAGAAGTGATTTAATTGAGAGATTATACGAAGTGATTAATAATAAAGTTGGTGATGTGAGAAAATAAAGTGATTTCAAGATAATATTACAAGTTAATGTTTGATGATAAATACATTTTTATGTAATACAAAAAGTGAATATGAAATGAAAAATGCTTCAAAAATATAAATAATTTAGCAAAAAGGTTTTGTTGTTAAACTCTTCGAATAAATTGTTGAGCGTGAATATGCACATTATTCTTTCCCCTTTTAACGTTATGAGAATTTGTTGTATCTACATATATGCTTATAACATGTGACTGATTAAGATCAACCTACGTGTAGGGCTATTGACCACAAGTCCACCCTCGATGCTGTGAAGGCTGGCCGCGAGTTATTGGATGCTGGCTTCCACCTAGCAAAGCCTGACAACGAAACAATCACTCCAATAGCTAAAGTCCCTGCTATCATTCCTCAAGTATGTTGCTATTACATACTTTATTCCTCCCAATGCCTATATGACATATTTTTTCTAATAACCATTTACACTGTAAAAAACATTGACCACGTATGCAATAAATCACCCAAAAATTTATGTAACCCATGATATAAATTACTTCAAATCCATTACATTACTATGGCTTATCCATTCTAATTTGTGTAATCCATAAACACTGACAGGGAAGGCCTATTTGGATCAAAGGCACAATCACTTTGGTTTTAGAAAACTATAGCCTCTGGTATGTTGCTTGTAGCCATTGTGCCAAATTAAAATACGCTGGTTGTGACGCAATATTTCACTGCATGAGTTGCGGTCAAGAAAATGCTTATGGCGTTCCAAGGCAAGTACGCCATTTGTATTACACCATACAACATAAGTGTACGTCATTTTCCTCAAAAAATCATATTATAACCTTCGCGCAGGGCCAAATTACATGTCACAATCGAAGATGAGACATGATCTATCAGTGGAATAATGTTTGGCTTGTGCGCTGAAAAGTTATTGCTTATGACAAGCAAGCAAGTCATGGAAATAGAATCACAGGTAACATCATCCACAATACCACCCAATTAAATTATCGTTTAATGAAACCAAATATATTTGTTTTTTGAATTTGTTTTTTTGCATTTGTTTACTATTGCCAAAAACATTAACTACATTGTAAAATTAATTAAAAATGTCACCCAAAGGTTTATTCGCCGACTCTATGCCATAGATTTTTTAACAAAATCATCAAATGAAGCATAATCTCTTATGGAATTTGGGTCCTGTAGAAATCTGAATAGTATACACATTGTCATTTGTCAAAAAGTCTAATTTTCTACTAGATTTAAATTCTATATGAAACCACTCATTGAAATTCTTTTGTACTTGGTAGGGGAAAAAAGCTTCATTCTCATACATAAACAAGCGCCTTGCTAAGGAAGAGTACATAGTCCAGTTGAGGTCTTCGCCAGACAATTGGAGTTCAAAAAACAACTATCCTCGTACTTCAAAGACATCTTATATCATAACATCTTTGCACGAGTCTTCGTTGCACATAATAAAGATGGATGAAGCAAATGCTGCCGATCACACTGCACCCAGTGAAAGCACAAGCACTTCAAGTCCTCCAATGAAATGCATCAAAACAATGTGACAGAGAGTACACAACCATCCAAACCATTCCACGACTCACCAAATTGTGTTATTACATTCGAATACTTTCATTTTTGCAGTACTATGTTCCATTTTGATTTTTGAATGTTATCGCTCCTGCAACCACAGACTTATTTTCCCATGATACACTACTAAGCTTGTTTCCGATCCGTGATACAATATTATGTCTATTTCTTCTCATATTAATAAATTACACACTAATAATGCAATCATGAAATTTTCATTATTCTATTTGGGAGTTCTATTTCAATGTTATTTCAAAAGGGAATGCATGTTGTACACACTGCCACACAAACATGATCATTTTCCCCTAGCATATATCCCAAGCACCCCTTTTTACACATTGGCCATTATCCCTATTATAAAAACACATTGGGCACAATCTCCATCGCGCACCGCGCGTTGCGAAAACTAGTATATACTATAATAGATTAGGAAACTTTGCCAAAAAAAACATAATAATAATAACAACAATAGCAACTAGAGATCGAACAAGTACTGAAAAGCCTCATCAAAGAAACTCAAACGTAAGTGAACGTAGTGAATGGTGGTCAGTGGTCACTAACAGATAATTGGTCACTGTGATGTCGGGGTGTTGGTCATTGTGACTGGAGTGGAGGTCGACATGACCGGTGGTAACCGTGGAAGCATTAGTTTTTGTCTTGGTGGTTACTGAGAGGGTGGTCACTGATGAATTTTTTGTCACTGCAACATGACATTAGTATAGCACCAATAAAGTGAAATCATATTAATAAAAGTGTAATAGTCTGTAAACCTCTTTTTTATCTCACTTTTCAAAACTGAAAAAAAAAACAATACGTAGTACTTCGTATTTCTTTTGGAAAATTTGTAAAATTAGTCCCGTAAGTTTTGGTGGTGCTCGGTATTGGTCCTCTAACTTCATTTACTTGCATAATACATCCTCTAATTAACATATTTGTCCAATTTCAGGACATTTATGTCGGAAAGTAATAATTCCACCAAAAATTAACACATCAGCGCCACTTGTTCATATTTATTTTCATATGGCCTCGCTGACCTGGACTTGAGACCCTGTTTTTGGTTCCCTCCCAAACACTCCTTATTTTAAAACATCCTGCACATAAAGAAAACATTCTCTGATTCATAAAACATTAAAAAAAACAGCTAGATTAAATTGAATACGGAGTAGTAGATTATACATCTTCAATTTAATTCTTATAAATTCTAAATACGAAATTGTAAAAATGAACATAAAGAAAAAAGTGCACTTCAGGCTATTTTTTTTTTAAATTCTTGACACTTACGAATTTTAAAAGCCTCCATTTGTAACCATAGAAACGGTCCAGGTAAAAGACAACTCGTTAGTTTTGCTAATCAACTATTATTCTTGTTCCAATGTCTTGTTAGAACCTTTAACATTAGAATTTTTTTTCTCTTATATCAAAGTAATACTACATATAAAATATTTAATTTTTTGAAGCAAAATTCGAAACCTACAAAATTTAAAAGTTTAGAGTTCTTACTCTGTTTCTGGGGCACACATGAAACCTTCTTCCCTCGTCATATATATGTCTATGAAGTTAAAACATCGGCCTTCTTACCACAATGATATTCCATAGATCCTTGTCTGAGCCATTATTTGCACTTTAGAGGAACACACTCACCTTCCTTCCATATGTGGAGAAGCCGGACCAAGAATTACGAAGCCTCCGTTCTTCTCTTAGGTTTTGTGCTTTAATTGTTCTAATGGGGGATTTGGGAGATCAGAGCACAATGAAGTGTTTGGGAATAAGTCATAAAAGGGGCCCACATCCAAGGCATCTGCAAACGTTAGGAAAAAATTACAACAACGGGAGATTGACATGTAACTTTCCAGCCAAAATTTAACTTTCCGACGGCAATGCCCTCAAATTGAACAAATATATGAGTTGAAGGATGTATTTTGCAAGTATGTAAAGTTATAGGATCAATATCGGCTATTAGCCAAAGTTACAAGACTCTTTTAACAAATTTCCCTATTTCTTTTTTATCTTCCACCCATTTTTTAATAATATTTTTGACAAAACTCCTACTTTAACCAAAAATGACCAATCCTAGCTTTACTTATCCAGAGAAATTGCGTGGCCAGTTTCTAGGGATCCTCGCGGATAAGGGTATCTTAATGCATTTTAGT